GGGACTATGTTTACTGTACTGTGTAAATATATAGGACCAACATTATCCTGCTCAGTTCTTCTGATCAAATGTTACAAGAAATGATGTCAACCTCACTCTAATATATCTAACACCTAGAAATGCATAAGATACTATGTTTGTCTAATTTTATGATTTCGTATATTTTTGAAAGTACACATCAACAGTCATCTGATAAACCATTAATAAGGAACAGACAAATAAAAACAAATAACATAATCATTACTCATAAGCCAAATGGGTTGCTCATGAAGACCAAATGCAAGGTATTGTAGAGTGAATCTTCCTGTCATCAGTTTCCCTGCCTTCTCCTGTAACATGGGATAAGGTAAAAATTTAAAATATCAGTTCAGTCTGCTTAAAATCCCCTTCAGACCTGTTCGGCCTAATGTTTTAATTCGTACACTCTAATATATGAGTGATTATAAAATAATATAAAATAATTTTTCTACATAACATTCTGTCAGATGGCCTCTATATTCCTTGGTTACTTATTAGAAGAAGGTGGTCAATGATCTAGCTGTTATGTAATAAGGTAATAGGTTCTGAAGATATGATAATTTACTTATTGACTGACTGGGGAAGGGAATGACAAGGTTCTGATAATAACTCGAGAGTCTATATTTTGGCAAGCATAACATATTACTCCTACAAAAAGCATACACTGAACAATAAAACAAAATGTAATCAAGTAAGATGATTAAGCAGGTTTAGAGGCAATGGTTAACCATGATTATCGTGATCTTCCACACAAAGATTAAAATTTTGATGCTAATAAAAAGATGCCATATTAGTTCCCATAACCGAATGTTTCTTCCCTGAGGCCTGAAGTAGTTAAAACATTTCACTAGCTGAAGTTAACAGGGCAACAATTCCGGGGCAATTAGGTGGTAACCCAAGATAAAGTATAGCAGACATATATTTACTTTATCATATACCATACTGATTGCAAAATGGAAAACCTGTTCACTATAGTCAGAAATGTTCAAAACAACTTCACTAACTCACAACATAGCTTCAATTTTCATTCCTGTGCCAAATTGACCTTATTATTCCCCAATTTCCTTGATAAACTCACTCGATCTTTCTCAGCTTGTGCCATCATCAGATTATCACCTCTGGTTGTGTTATCATCTTGCCATACCCTCTCAGGTTGTGTCTTCATCTGACTATTCCCCCTCTGCTTATATCATCATCTAACTATTACCCCTCTTGTAATATCTGACTATTAGTGGTGTCAATTAACCGCTTGAGCATTAACCGGTTCTTTTACCGGTTAAAGTCGGTTAACCGGCGGGAAATTTGAACTTATAATTTCAAATGATATCTTCATCTTCGATCTTGAAAGTTGAAAAAATTGGAAAAATGATATATCGGCGTTTATTTTTTACGTTCGTCAAGCTTTACGCTATTCTATGTAAGTAAGCGCGGGAAAGCAATGTGGCAGGGATTAAAGTTGCTGATTGGATGTTCGTAAGGAATTATCGGACCTATCACATGTATGAGTAGCTCACATGAAACTGACGCTTGAAAAACAAACAGATTAAAATGCAAAGTAAGCGCGGGAGAACAATGTGGCAGGGATTAAAGTTGCTGATTGGATGTTTGTAAGGAGTTATGGGACTTATGACATGTATGAGTAGCTTACGTGAAACTGACACCATAAAACCCAACGGATTAGCATGCACTTGAAAATAAGCGCGGGAAATAACAGAATTATACACGGTCAACTAACCGCCCATAAAAACTCAGACCGGTCAAGGCATTATCGGCGGTTAACCGGTTAATACTTGACACCTCTACTGACTATCTCCTCGAGTTGTCTCATTATCCAACATCCCCCTCCAGTTAGGCCACAATCACCCAACAACCCCCTCCTGTTAAGCCACAATCGTCTGACTTTTCTGAGAGTTCATTAACAGCAGGTAACCCACTATTTTTTCAGTTGTTTTAACCGAAATTGCCTGTTATTTTGAGGGATTTTGCAACTGTTTCTTTGACCTTTGGTCTTGGATCTTCCCTTTGGTTTCTGTTATCATCTGAATATTGTCTTAAGTATCAGACCATATTTAAAGATCAGGCTTCTGTCCTACAGCAGCTATGGAAAGAATTGAACTACCCAAGGATGTATCAGACCCTCTGACTCTCTATGACTATACCACAACCCACTACCCCTCCTCTTCTAATTATGCAATGATCTGGTTTTTCCTACATGGGTTTGCTATCAAAAGTGAGGAGAGATGAAAATCACTGAATCCTGATACAAAATTCTCCTTCGAGAGCCAAATGCTAAAATCTATATGATAAGAATGACTATGGCGCCACATTGGTCTAAACAAACAACTAGATGAAACAAGAATCACAATGCATTCATTCAAAATAACGTAAAAATGTATTATATGCCATCACAAATTGATCCCGTCTAACAATGCAATAGACCATAAATATTGCGAAATAATGGTTGTCCTTGAATTATTAATACCATGCCTAGGGTTGTCTTTAGTCTATAGTATCATATACCCATGATAATATCATATATAGCTGCTGCTGCATAGAGGCTGACGGTAATTCCGGTTATACGGTTTCGGTACGGAATTGAGCATTTACCGGTATTGAAATTATTAACCGGTTAACCGACGATAATCCCCGGGGAAATAAAAGACACGTCGTTTTTTATTATTTCGTTTAATTTCCACTTTCACGATGCGTACATTTACATAGACATTTAGATGTCCATGTTTGGCAGTTCAGGTGTGATTTCCATGTCTGGCAGTTCGGGTGTAGTACAGGTAGCTTCATGCTCAGATTTGGTTGTAGTTATGTTTGGCAGTTCCGGTGTAGTTGTAGTGTCAATGTCAGATCCAGAAGCTGAATTATGTTTGTCATGGTCATTTACCAACAACAAGGCATTGACAACCTCAGGTTGAAGTCGTGCCCGTTTGGAAGTGATTTTGTTGCCTGCTGCACTGACGAACTGACGTTCACTTGACACGGATGACGCAGGAATAGCATGATATGTTTCAGCCAAACTCGCCACATCAGGATATTTGCCTAATTACCGGGAGTTTTTGGTTTTGTTAAAATCTATTTTACCTACCCCACCCCCATGTATACTGCACGTCGCTTGCTATTGATACAGTTGAGAAATGGGTTGAAATGTGTAATACATTTAATTTAAAACTAAAAATACATCTTGATTCGTAAGATAGTTACTTACTATCTCGTGAAGTTCAGTATGGGTTCAATTCGGTCTTGCACCATGTATGCATATAGACTTGAGAAGCTTCGGAGAGAGTTAGGAAAAAAGTGGGGGTGGCAGCGCATTGGCATTTTATCTTACATATTTTTACCGGTATTTCGGTAACGGTACGGTTATTAGCGTGACGGTTACCGGTACTGGTTTTCAGTACCGTTGCGACCTCTACTGCTTCAGCATATTCCAATTTCAGATTTATGCATAATATAGAATCTTAAATTGCTCTCTATCAAAATAAATTATCCTACCCCCCTGGCTGGTTATTCCAGTTAGCTACATGGATGTAGATTGATACCAATGACCTATACCCCCTGGTTATATATAAAACACAATGAATACACCCAAAGGCATTGTTGTCTGAGATTGCAAATTGCCGCCAAACTATTCAAGCAAATGAAATATAAGCCTGTCAGGTTCTTCACATTTTTCAATCCATTATGGATCAATGCCAATAAAAGCAATTGTTTCATATCTTTTCCGTAATTCACAAAACACGGATCAATGATGATACGAATCAAATGGTGAAGATATAACTAGTCCTAGCTCCACAAACAATTGGTCCTGTAATATTCAAAAGTTTGTGTATTGACAGAGAACTTTGTCCATGGAGTGAGGAATTTGATTAAAGCATGAGAGTAGGGATTTTTTTTAATGTTATTAGGGTGATCCCCTCTATAACCTAGCGTCATCTTGAAAAGAGATGTGTTTTTTCTTGATAAAAATTTCCTTGTTTGGGGGACTCACTGGGATTCTATATATTAAGAATCTTATATACACAGGAATACCGAATTAATTGAGGTATGTTATTTTGTCTGTTATACATGCCAAGTTCACCCATGCCATTAATTGTATAATCATACAGACAACCTATGGGGCTGTTCTCAGGACTTTAGTCATGGAACAAGATAACTAAGGGCTATATTCCTGAACCGTACGACCAAACCTGAGTGAGAGTACCAAAATGTGTCATATCCATACAAATAGTTGTGATTCAATAGCGCAATTGCATTTCATAAAACTGACATACACTATTTAGTTTGAACAGGAATAAGAAAACATATTTTGCAACACTCTACATATTCATAAAGAGTGTCAGAGCCAGTGATGACGATCCATCTAAGACAATTGTTTTGGTACTCTCACCAAGTCCCATCAAACATGCATTAATCGTTTATGTCCCTGTTTATGATCGGCACACCTGCTACAATTTCTTCACACAAGCCGCTACAACCATGTTTTCAGATTGAGACTGTTTTGGCGATGGGTTTTCAATATATGTTTTGTCGACATTGTCGTACCATACTAAATTTGTTTGCTCTCTCCTCCTCGGACATTTTGCATCCTGTGTATGTCACCTGTGTCTTCTGCATTTCACGTTTGATGCAAGGCTAAGAGTGATTGTGTCGGACAAAGATTGAAAGACTGATCAACAAATTGTGAATCAACCTGACTGGTGAAAGAAGTTTGACCTTTCAAATATGGGATGATAGTATGATAAATCTTTAAAGTAAAAATACAGGACTTTATTATACTATAGCTTAAAAGTCCGTGAAGTAAAATGACCCCCCCCCCCCCTCACAATCATTGCCATAATGATATCCAAAGCCTGAACTCATGTCGAAAAAAATTATAGAACAGCATCAGGAAATGAGAGTTTTATCCACATGTTTGTCAACTTTTTGACCTAAAGTTGTTCTTAGTTAAAGATGATGGATCTATATGTTACCTTAAATCTTCGATGCTTGAGTTCTTGTCCAAATTAGCCGTATTTTGTCGACTTTGTAGGAGTGTTTTGTTCGGTTTCGACGACTGTTTCCAACTCCAAATCGCACAATGCCGAGCCGAAGTACGATCGGGTCCGATGAAAAGAAATGTTCAATCTTTAATAATTCTTCGTCAAACTTGATCAATCATGCTACAACTATGAAGAATGAACTCTTATAAACAATTCTGATAGACTTTATTGAGTTTTTCACCCAAGATTAATGCAAATATTAGCATTCAAAACCACATTTTCTAAGCTCAATAATTCGGTGGCCTTGACCTTTTCCGAAGTTGCAATTGAAAGGTCAAGTTTTACGCGGGCAAGTTTTGTCACTATATTTCATCTATCACACTATTCAAGACCTTCTTTATGTTCTTAATAACATTGTATGAATGAATTTTCGTACAGTAAATGAAATATATTATTATCTAAGGTCAAGCACAATTCAGCACAACCGAAATACGTGAAAACACAATGTCACTCATATACCTTTTCACGATACGAATAGAGTAAGAATGCTAATTAGTTGGATATATATTGAACAGATTTAAGATTTCATACAATGGAAAGTATGATATTTCGTCAATTATGATCAGAAACAAACCAAATCAAACACGACTTTGTCTGTGTTTTGAAAACTCCGCGGAGAATAGTAAATCAACATGACCTTTACATTGACCAATGAAAATGCAGTAGGACGTCACTTTGGGGAATCCCCTTTCCATATATAGGGGAAATTCTCAGAATTGTTGTAGAGTCTCCACGTGAGTCATTCATGAATCATCCATCTAAATATAGCGGTGGTGCAATATTTGAAATTGAATTTTAGTAGAGAATAGAAGCAATAAAAGTCAATTTACAAATATACAATGGACAGCGAAAGTAGCAGAAGCACGAGCCCAGAAATGGAAGGAGCGATTGGAGGTGGGATTACGGAGAGTGTCAGTACTGTAAAGGAGAGTACAGAGTCAGAGACTGGAATTGACAGGTTGTTGCAAAAACAGAAAAGGTAAGCTTGGAATATCTCTTTGCACATTCTTCAATCTTTGTCAAAATCAAGGATCAATTTGGCCTAGAACTTGTATTCGTCCAAACATTACACCCCCCCCTCCCTGTATTCAGTTGTAGCTGGTTGTAGTATTGACATCTTGTCTATCGGACATAATAATAATATGCAAATGTGATTTACAGTGAAAGAATGTTTGAATTGCGACAAATTCAACATGGCGAACGTCCAGTCACAGGTAAAGACTCGCGTCAACAATTGGATGATTTCTTTGGCCGCACCCAGGAGGGAGCTGCTGGCCCCACCCCCGAAGAGAGCCGACCAGAGTCTGTGACTATTGAAGTACAGGGTTTGGTGCAACGAAGACGCGTTTCATCAATGTTACAAAGTATCAACTTCAGACGTCGACTGGAGAACACCATAAGGGGAAACATATCACATCTTCGAAGCCAGTTTCGCCCAGTACAATCTGCCACATCTGACAGATCTTCAGCTCCTCCTTTAAACAATGAGTCAATCAGTGATAGTCGCTCAAGTTTGGCTAGCATTCAAACAAACAGTTCAACGACTTCAACTGAATCTGCCCAAGGTGCTACAGCGGCACCTAGACCAAGACAAAGTGCAACCTTATCAGGAAGAGCTTCTCTGCTACAACAAATTCGTTCAAGGCACAGCCAGATTGAACCTTCGGGTAAATATAACTGACTTTCATTGCATTTTTCATGTATCTCATCTGAAACAAAGCATTTAAAGACATGAATAAAATGTAAAAAAATACCATTGAGTATAACAGTCTTTAAATTAAAATTTTTATACAGGTAGTGATTCAGATGAGGATAGAACAGAGCACATCCAACAACACATCCAGAACAACCACCAGAATACACAGCACAACCAGCACAATGTACAGCACAACCAACACTTTATACCTCCAGCTCCTCCTATGCCACAGTGAGTGTTTTTAACCTCTAGGTCAATCGTTTTAAATATCAAATCGTAGTTATGATTCACTTTTGAGTGTTCCATTTTAAGGTGTTCACTTTTGGAAAACTATGGGACTCAAAGGGCATAATGTTTCCCAATAGTGTCCATGTAGGAACATAGTTTGATTAGAGGATTATAAAATGAACATATTTTACTATTACATGTAGAGCTATGATAAGCATGTTATGATTTTATGAACATTCATCATAAGTTGCCCTTGATGAGTCATCCATCATACTATAGTACTAGCATACATGTATCACTACATTGTGAATAACTAAGTAAATAATGACTCCCTATTCAAATACAGATTGTAGAACTTGGTTTCGTGAGGACAATACAGTTATTCCATGGTTTATTTTCTGGCGTAATTACATTAATTTTATAGATAGGCACTGGCGGATCTGGGGGGGCAGGGGTCCAGGGGCCCAGGAAAAAAGATTGGGCCCAAAAAAAATTTGAGCCAAAAAAAGGCCTTCAGGCCCCAAAAAGTGGGCCTTTTTGGTCATAAATAGGCCTTTTAAGGCCTTTTTTTTTTTAGGCCAAATTTTGGGCCCAATTTTTGGTTTTAGGGGTTCAAAGTTTTTTTCTCAGACCAGAAGTTTGCCCCCCCTTGTTGGTTCCCAGATCCGCCCCTGATAGGGTTAAACTTTTCCTATTCTATGGATCTTTCCAATTATGGATATAATGTAGGTTGACCATGTTATATCATTCTGATACTCATAGCATCTCTCTCTGTTGCATCTCTTCAGAAGGATAGAGATGGAGAAGGCGTGGCTTACCACAGTGGTGTTATATAGCTTTCTTAAATATCTATTCATAGACAGCAATATTGATCATAGGTATAATCTGATCAGGGCTACTCTACTGAAATGATTGTGGTTAGTAATTCTTTGGCAGCACAATCCTGATGTTCAACAACATAATCTTGCGATTGTTATCCCGATGTGCGAAGTTCGGTAGGGATATAGTGAAGCCCTCTATTCGTTTGTCAGTCCAACAGTCAGTCAAGATGGCCAATGCTTTAAAAATGGCTAGAATTTTTGCACAAAAACCTTATGTTTTTCTTATTGCAAATGGTGTATCGACAATGATCTCAAATATTTTTTGAGTGGAAGAGAAGATAGTAAATATTACATTGTGACTACAGATTCATGATTTTCAACGTATATAGTGTTCGTTGGGATTTGCTACCCCGTGGAGTTGCTGTTTTCTAGTTCCATAATACAATCATGTGATTGTTCTTTGTGTGATTGTTCCATACCACAATATTTTGTTTGTTCTCTACTCAAATTTTGTGACTGATTAATAACATGTCCTCCTGATTGTTTCATAATGAAATTATTTGATTGTTCCATAACACAATCACAAGATTGTGCCACAACATAATCGCAAGATTGTGCCATAACACAATCGCAAGATTGTGACAAATCGCAATCACAAGATTGTGCCATAACACAATAGTCTGAGCATTCTATGAAAGTATGTTTTCCATTGTAGAGAGCAATTACCAGAGTGGCCAGGCTGGCACAATGTGGAGCAGAATCACCATGAGGACCTTGTTATGGAGATTAGCGAGTTGGTTCAACAACAACTTGTTAACTCAGCTCTTCAAAGTGAATTCAGAACTGTCCTAGAGACCAGAATGCAGGTGAGAGGCAATTTATTCCTCATAAGTCTTTGAAGAGTAGAAGGTTTAAATCTTTACCATTGGTGTTTCTGGGTTATTCATTGATTTATTTTTAAAATGTTTTTACTTTCAGAATCATTTAGCAAACACGGGGGCTGATGGAGAGCGTGTTGCAGAATTTGTCAACTCCATACAGCCAACCCAACCAATCCAGCGCAATGACTTCAGCCATCTTGGAATTCAAGCTCCAGGGGCCCAGGGAGATTTTGATGATGTTAGTGTGATCAGCGCCACTGCAACAGCCGCAATACCTTATTACCAGGTACCCTTTTTATTTAACCTTTTATTATCCCAGTAAATGAAGTCAAGTAGGGATAGAGTGAAGTCCTTCATCTGTAACTCCGGTTTTTCATTTCTAACAAAAGTAATGAGTATTATTGTCAATTTTGATGGAATATATCTATTTGACATACATCATCTGTGAAAATGTCAGTGTAATTGAATAAAGAATGAAGAAATAAGAGCAGTTGGTTACTTACTTTCTGATCGGGCCTCATATATCCCATATTTTTGGTACTGAGTTTCAGATCTTTCTGAACTACAGCTTTATTATACACAAATGAAAGGCAATTTAGACTAGAATGCATATATTGTACATTTTTCTGATTCAGGGCTTGGTAAATTTAAAATGGCCACCTAATGTGGGATTACTCAATAATTTCCTGATCTCTTCAAAGTATTATACTCAAATTGCAATTTTAGAGTAGATCACAATTATGGCATTGTTTTTCTGAATCTTGCCTCAGAAAATCCATAATGACTGTCTAAAATGGGAATTCACTAGAATTTAGAGATTTGAATGGAATGGTTACACAACATTACATCACAAATATTGATTTGTCTGTATGATTTGCCCCTTTGATAGTCCTAAATGGTCTACCTAATTAGCTTAATTGGTGGTATATGATCCGGGTATATGTTATATCTTCAATGTCTGTCTTTTATTTTCTGCAAATCAAGGGTAGAGTATCTGGTAAATATTATATAATGATGACATATACAGATTCTTTTTTTTTTTTTTAATTAGAATTTATTCACATACAACTCAACATTTCAAAATACAATATTTCATAAAAAATATGTTTAAACACATTTTCTCAATCATCAATGTTTCTTACATATTTTTCATATTCAAACATTACAGATATATTTTTTCTTTCATTTGAAAACTTAAAGTCATGTATAGTTTTCTTTATTACAAGTGTCTTATAAAGTAATTTTTTATCTAATATTCCTATTCCTATTTTCTCATTTTCATTCAAATCTACATCTTTCCAAATATTTTTTATAGCATTACAATGTATAAAAAAATGTTCAATATTATCAATTTCATTACATAGTTTACATAAATCAGATTGTTCTATGTTATATTTTTTTAATAAACCGCCATGTGGATATATACAATGGAAGATTTTCCATTGTATACTTAAAAGACCAGTGTCTGACGTGCATTTAAAAAGCTGATTCCAAATATCTGAACCAATACTTAAACCCTTAAATTGTACATCACACTGCCTTTCTTTGACAAGCTTATTCCATATACAGATTCATCGAATTTCGATTTGTTAGGATTTGCTTTTCTGTGGCGTTGCTGTTTTTATGTCACCACCACAAGTGGTGTAGATGGTGTTCGAAGTTGAGGTTCTGCAGTCAGTGTTTGGCATCTGTAACAAATGGCAGGTGATGACATTTTGCATGTTAATGCCATGTCTAGTTGTATTATGATTTGATGTGAACATCATACGCCAACGATTTTTTGTGAAGAGTACAATCCTTTTTAATTTCATCTATTGGTTTATTGTTTGTAAGACTTACAATTTTTATTTATACTATTTATACCACATACAATATTTAAATTCAATTTCATTTATTTCATTTTCCATAAAAATATACAGGCTATGACATCACGAGTGGTGTATAACTGCTCATAATAATTCTAACATAATAATAGTGAACACTTGGAACATGAACATGTATATGAATGTATAACATCATGTGATCCAGACAAACGCAGCCGTAACCAGGGAGATGCAGATGATGAAGAGGCAGATGGAGGAGATGAAGAATATGATGAAGATGAGCTTTAATCTCCAAATGGACATCCAGAGGTCCATTCGACAAGAAGTTGCAGCAGCCCTAGCTCAAGTCACAGGTACGTGTACTTTTACATCTACATGTAGTTTAATTCCATAATGGTCATGCGTAAGTGTAACATTAATAAGTCTCTGATCTTCAGATGCTTTCCATTTTGGTTGTTGGGAGAATGGAGAGGAGCAACATAATGCATGGTTTAAGATGTTTTAAAAGTTAGTTTTAAAGACTGTATTGAAAAACATGAAAATTTGGTACATTTCTTCAATCAAATATTAAAAGAGAATTTGTATAATGCAAGCATGACCAGTCTGGAGTTTTCTCATATTGTAGTATATTTCTTTCTTTATTGTTTACTGTTCAATGTTCATAGCTAGCTAAGTATTTATTTAGTTACAGTTGTTAACAAATAATAAGATTTGCACCCAAAACACAATCAAATTCAGGAAATATGCATTGGTTAAATTAGATTTGTTTTTTTCTTATGTTACCCTTTATGCTTTTTCATTGCCAAATCAGGCATATCATCCATTGCATTTTGACATTGTCCCCTCAATGTAGGGCTACCATGGAATGAAATTATTGTCCAACTGTCCAATTTAAACTTTGGAAACAGACTTTCAGTACTGCCTTTTAGTTGCATTTTAGAAATGTTCCATTAAGAATGTTGCCATATCACCATAGCAAAGTGAATGAAATCAACAATATATCAGTTCTTTCTCTAGGCTCTAGGGTTTGAATCATCAAGTACATGTACATCCTCATATATTGTGTAAATGCAAAGTACAATTTGTATGTGGACAATCATTTTATTTGCTAAAATTGGATAAAGAGATTACATGGCGTTTGTTGTCCAGTCACAAAGTGGCAGGATGATTTTTGTGGGAAATTTGAAATCATAATTTAAAAACCTGGAACCGATCATAGCATGGGAACATTATTCTCTTAGTAAATGTATAGCTTTAATGCTGAAGTGTCCTTATTAAAAATTTAGATACCATGACTTTTAATCAGTGTAATTTTTAACATTTTTTCAAATTTTTTGAGAATTGCTTTCAGCCAATTAGTTCAAAAGTTCCGAATCCTGAAGACAAGTTCCAAAATCTGTTACTTTCCATTCCATGTCTGCCCTACCTCAAAGCTTTTTACCAAAGTCAATCAAGAGATTGTGTTTTTCATTCAAACCTTCATTTATAGGTGGCAGTGGTGTGCAAGAACCAGTACGTGCTACTCGGCCAGTTAGAGACTCTCACTGCATAATCTGTCTGGAGGCCCATGCAGATTGTGTTCTATACCAATGTGGACATATGTGTTTGTGCTATAGTTGTGGGCAAACATTAAAAAATCAGGACGCAAAATGTCCAGTTTGCAGGGCACCAATCAAGGATATTATTAGAGCTTACAAGTGCAATATGGATTGAGATTAAGGATTGTGATATTAAAGCTTGATTGTGTTGTTGTGTTATGATTGTGACACTATGGCAATATGGATTTTGTTATTTTAGAATGGATTGTGAGATTCATGTTGTAAAGTTTGGACACTGGACAGTTTATGTGGAATGTCACTCACTGTACTGTGACATTCAGGATGGATCTGATTGAAAGAAATGAAGAAATTTTGCTGGTCAAAATTTAAAATATTATCTACGTTGCTATGTGTTTTGCATAACATGGAACAAAATATGCAAATACTTAATGCAGATAGTCATGTATTTAGAGTAACATAATGCTGTATAATCTACAATTGTATGAGAAAATATATTTTATTACTTTGAAACATTTTTTGATGAAGTTAAATTGGTCGATGAGTTAATTAGTTTTATATTGTTATTTACAGTGATAGGTTTCAATACAAAAGAAAAATAATATAATATACAACCCAGCCCACTTAAGCTTATCAACCACTTGAAGTTAGATAAACTTAACTATATTTAATTACTTAACTAACATATGGACATTTTGCACTTATTTTAATACATATTACAAACTTAAAGGGACATTCCTGGCCAGACAAATTCTATTCTGATGTGATAGCTATAATCATATATATACTTTCCATATTTAGCTAAATGTGGGAAAATGTGTAAATAAAGTCTATATTGATCATTTATTTAAAAATGTAGGGCTCATTTCCAGTAAGCTGCCATCTTTTAAGATTTCACCCAGGAAGTGAGTGAACTTTAAATGTAACACCATTTTAGTAAATTGTACATGTAAGAGGTCCATTTCTTGTTTCCAACTCAAAGAACAAATCGACTTCAGAGTTTTTTTCATTTTTTGGTAGACAAACCTGTTGTATTTTACAAAGTACATCTTGTTATTTCATTTTGGTCCGTTTGATGTCAACCTTCATTTCATGGTATTACAATATAATCATATGTCATGATCACCTCTAAATGAATGAATTTCTGAGTATCATTACTATTTACTTATTGAGCAAAAGAAACTATTGAATTTTTTAATAGCTTTTAAAACAAACACAAAGTTCCAAAGTGAGTCATAATAAAATAAATATTATGTTCTTTTAGTTCTACATGTATGAAGCACACATTACCAAGTTATGATTTCATGTTTTGTAAACTTCAAAAACTGATCTCTAAATGATAAGGTACATGTAAATGGGAATTACATGTCTTAAAATTCATAGAAAATGGTTGGCAGGATTTAAGAGTATACCCTTCTTTCAATTACGCCTACTTCTATACTTTGCATAATGTGAGAAAACTTCTGCAAAAAAGACTTTACCCAGCGTCAATGTAGGCCCGATGTCTACATTGAACCCTATTAACCACACATACTCAGTTCGTGAAATTTTTGTTTGAAAGTTGAAAAGATCGAATTATCTACCAATTTCAAGGTAATTTTACTTGTTTTGTCTATTGTTACGGGTGGTCAAGAGTCACATCTAAATATATAAGGGCATTATCATGTGGGAGTCAAACGGACTCCCGTTTCTGACAACGTAGGGTGTCCGGAATGAAATCAGGGTGTCCCGGGCCTACGGACTCCCGCTTCTGCCGAACCCTGATCACAAAGCCAGCTTTTCATCAAACTATCAAAAAAAATTTTCATTCAAACCTTCATTTATAGGTGGCAGTGGTGTGCAAGAACCAGTGCTTTTCTAGCAGTTCGAGACTCTCACTGCATAATTTGTCTTGAGGCCCATGCAGATTGTGTTCTTTCAATATGTGTTTGTGCAATAATTGTGGGCGAATGATTTTGATTGCGACACTTTGACAATAAGGATAGAGGATTTTGTTATATCAGAACTGATGTCGTATTTTGAAGTTTGGACAGTGAAAGTTTATGTGGAATGTCATTGGTGTGATTATTGTACTGTGACAGTCAACATGGATCCGATTGAAAGAAATGAAGAAATTTTGGTGGTCAAAATTAAAAATATACTTTATGATCTTCGCCAATCTATGTGTTTTACATAACATATAGAACAAAATATACAAATTATTAATGCACATATTCATGTATTTAGAATGTATTTATTGTATAATCTACAATTATGTAAGACAAAAATATAATTTATTACTCTGAAAAAATGTTTGATAAAGTTAAATTGGTTGATTATAAAAGTGATGCAATCAAAAATGCTAAAAGCCAGGAAAAGTTGTAGTTATATGGGCCAGAACTATGTGGCCCCATTGTTGTGGTGATTGATGGTGTATAAATGGCATATTTATAGGTGAAGGTTTCCCCAGTGGGCATATAGGTGGCGCCATTGTCAAATGATATTGAAACATTCACCTTCATCTCACTATTGTGGTTAATCACAGCACTTTTACAATGAAGTTGTGTGGGGGATATCATTTTGGCTTCTGTTTCGATGTCCCCAAATTTACACTTTAATGTCTTGCATGTTCCCCTTTCAAAATGTCGACCAAAAATGTGGACTTTTGTTTCTCCATTTAATGCACCTTCTCGAGGTAAGATTCTTGCAAATATGGGTTTGTATGTATCTAATTTTGCGCCACATGCTTCTATTTTCATATCAGCTATGAATTTGCTCCAAGCAGGAGTCCAAACATCATTGATGGCTTTAGTTTTCTCATCAGTTGTCAAAGCACTGTAGTTCAGGGAATTAATGGCTAGCTGTTTCATATCATTAAGATCTAGACCCCATGCCATGTAAGCAAGGTACCAGTCAACGGTGAAGTAGTTGTAGCCAAATGTACCAGGGTCATCGCCCCCCAGGACTATGGGCACCCCTGCCCTGAGGAAATGCACAGCTGGGTGAAGACGTATATCAGGGACGTAACCAAGTATCTGATTACTGGCAGGACAAACTTCAATTGCGGTTCCTCTTTCTCGAAGGAGCTTCAACAAATATGGGTGCTTTTCGAAACCTAGTCCATGGCCTATTCTCTGTGAATCCAACATAACAGATTCATAAGCATTGTCAATGGTTGATACAGGGTCAAAAGGTTTATTAAGTTCATTTGGTTGGAGGTCAGCTGGCCAATTAGTCTCAGCTGTGTGGAAGTAAAATGGCATTTTGTTTCTCTTAGCCTCTGGATCATAGTTTTTGATGAAATCTTCAAGGTAAAACAATAGTGTGTAACCTTTGTCCTCTTCACCAACCATATCAAGGCCACGTATTAGTTCTGGGAATTTCTTGTATAGTTCTGTGTAAGCCTTAACCCCTGAACGTACACGAGATGGATTCGACCTTGTGTGATAAATAATATTCTTCAAGCCAAAGAATTCTGGATGCCTTGCAGTGTAATTATTTATAAACTTGATTGTTTCAGCTATTTCATAAGAACCATCTGTATCAAGTAATTGTTGTCCATTTCTATCAGCATAGCTTCCATTAGAATTTAATCGGTACAGTCTTCCATATATGGATCTCCTTCCTTCTAGATATTGAACATTTTCCTCCCTGGCAGCATCAAAGAGGGCTTCAAGGTATCTAAACTGGATGTTTTCATTGGCTAAGAAATCACCTCCGAGCCTGCCAAATAAACCCCCAGCTAACTTCCAACGATAACCTGTATCTGATGGATAGGACTTAGCACGTGCATCAAGAATGCCCATGAGATGCGTGAAATGGATAACATCATCAACCTTGAAGTGATCTTTAAACTTGACCCATCCTTTGTTAGGTGGAGGATTTATGAAGAAGTTGTACTGCCAAGGCGAGGCACTCTGGTTAGGGTGTGTCACATATAGGTGGTCCCAGTCAGATAGATTCATTGCTAACTCAAGCATCTGCTTTTTCTCAAGGACATGGTCTGCAAATAAAAGTACAGTATGTTGTTAGAAATCTAGAATGCACTATAGATGTATTCGTAATGGAATGCTCTAAAAACCCTTTCGACCTTCAACTTTCGACTTATTAGGTGTACAGAAATTCCTGAAATATAAAACAACCTATATAGTTCCAAGTTGAGATTCCTAAGTTTTGGAACAATCATTGTATCCACAGCAAATAATCATTTCTTATCTCCTCCGTTGAAGAGAACAAAAAATGCACAAGGGCAAAGGGGGGATCTGTGCAAAGTTCCGTTTTTTTACTGGACATGAGAATTAAGTCCATTAGATTTGATTTGTTTAAATTATTAAAATACATGCGCCATCTATAACTGAAATAAGAACATATAATTTGAGATGGGTATCACTTATGTTTATGAATTTCACAGCAGTGAAATAATGACCTTATGTTGTTGGAATATTTTGGTTTCGTGTAAACAGAAGGTATGTATCCAACAGAAGTGTCATGACACTATCAATTTGGGCCCAACTATGTTAGGTATAGACACTAAAACTGTGAACGATCGCAGAAAAGCAATGAAAATCATGGGACTGAAACACCTCCATTCATGCGCATTTGCCAAAAATGGAACCTCATGCAGAATGCCCCTTCCTAGTGCTCTTCAAGATCGCCAAAAATAGCTCCTATTAACTGTTCTTTTTGGACACCCAATAGGTCGAAGGTTGAAGGGTTTTTAGAGCATTCCATTTGTAATGTGGAACATCTGTAACAAAAATCTCAAAAAATCTTCATGTCAAAAAAATAAAGAGGAAGAATGGGTTGAGTGCCAATTTAACTTGTTTATTGACTTATAATCGTTTCCTCAACATCTGAGTGACATTATCATATGTTATCTTATCTTATTGAATTATTTTTAGGTGGATTCTAAGAAACACTGTCAGATAACATTTGTTGTATCAGACGATAGAACGTTTGATTTGAGAATCTAGATTATAATTATGGATTTTTTGCACAAAAAGAATTTTTTTTATTAATTCTTATAACTGATTCATAATCTTCAAAGATTTTAGCAGCCATCTTGCATTATGGCGGCCATTTTGGAAGTTTTTAGATAAATCTTGCCATCATGATTCCAGGAAAACCACTTGATGGATTTACTTCAAATTTTTACACATGTTACATGGGAAGAAGTTCTACAGCTGATTAACCTTTTGGTGGCTATCTTGCATTCTGGCGGTCATTTTGGAAGTTTTTAAAAAAATCTTGTCATCGTGATTCAATGAAAACCACTCAATGGATTTACTTCAAATTTTTACACATGTTACATGGGAAGAAGTTCTACAGCTGATTAACCTTTTGGTGGCTATCTTGCATTCTGGCGGTCATTTTGGAAGTTTTTAAAAAAATCTTGTCATCGTGATTCAATGAAAACCACTCAATGGATTTACTTCAAATTTTTACACATGTTACATGGTAAGAAGTTGTACAGCTGATTAACTTTTTGGTGGCTATCTTACTTTCTGGGTCAACAAGCCCACACTGCTGTTTTAGGTACAATATTGTTCACCCTGTGCCTTGATTTCTCAAGATCTGGATGGTGAATTTTCATAAATATTACCAAAAACACTTTTATATGCAATTTTTTTAAATAAAAAAAGATTTTTTCCTATTGAAAGCAATGTTAAATTAAAATATTCTTTTTACAAATAACCATGGGCTTTCAACTAGACTTTCTATTTTTCACATATTTTGTTATACAACAGTCTATGTATCACCTAGATTTTTTCCAGAAAATCTGAATTGTAGAAAAAAAGTCGGTCGACATTGAAGTTCTACCTTAATCATTAATGATAAAACATTTAAGACCATAATAGACAGGTTCCAATTTAAATAATTCAAGTTTTTGAGGCATTTTTTAGAAAAAGCAACAGACCTATTTTTACTAGATCAGTTTTTCATGCTGATAAAGATATTAAAAGATGACAGCTCAACGGGGTGGTCACGACACTAAACTTTGGCATTTTTACCCCCCTAGGAAAATATTGTAGGGGGTACTATGAAACTAGTTCATAACTCAAAGGATATATGAGCTATTGTTCTGAGTTGTACACCATACATTGCTAGTACAAATATGAATACTATCCTATAGTTATAGGTTGATACCCTCATTGGTCTCAGAAAAATACAAAAAAACAGGAAAAAGATACGCAATTTTTGTCTTGCCAATTTTATATTTGTAGCTTCAAGCACAATATGACAGCTTTAACAGCTCATAGTAGTATTCTAAAAACATTTCAAAGCTATGTTTGGTATTGTAATACATCTATTATAGTTATGAAGTACTATTTTGTAATTTTGATATGACTTTATAGTGCCCTACCCCTGGAAAATTGAAGAAAGTGGATGTGGTGAATTTTATCATTTTGCAGCATTAAGTTAGAAACATGTATTGATAGACACCAAATCAATAAATTCATACCATCATCAAATGTTAGGTGACATTCTAATTCATTTATTACTAGAATATAGGACTTAAGATATTTTATATGTAAGTTTTCAATTTAGTACATGTATCATAATGAAATCTAGTGTAATCACATACTAGAGCGGTTGGCATACAGTCTGGACATTGACATAAAGTCTAAACATTATAATCATCAATTGATCTCATTTGAGCAACTAGACTATGGTGGTCATCATGCACAAGTAATGTACAGTAGAACATGCTAAGTGGAACACCTCCGTAAGTGGAACACCTCCGTAAGTGGAACACCTCTGTAAGTGGGACGCCTTTTCAAAGTCCCATTTTAAAAACCCATTGACTTAATGTTAATTGAACCTCTGTAAGTGGAACACCTCCAAACTTGAACAGTGAACACCCCATATTGAAAAATTAACCTGCTAAGTGGAACAGTCAATTTCCATAGATTTCAATATTGATATATGTAAACAGAATTAATCTCCTTCAATGATATGAAAACAGGTAATACTATGATAATTGGCAAATTAGGATTTTAATGGATTTTAATGGATTAACCTCCTGTAGAGGTCAACATGTGATGCAACCAATAATTAATTTGATAATCAGCAAATTAGGATTTCATAAGATTATCATTCAGAAAATTGGATTAACCTCCAGTAGAACTGGACACGTGATGCTACCACTAATTAATATCCCTTGCTGTTTATTTCAAACTTAATAAGTAAGATTAAAAATGTCATTTAAAAACAATTGAATCATTAGCAGTAGGAACAAGTCTTTAAAACTTAATTGCCTAATCTTTGTACCTGAGACTGGCACAACTAGGAGGATTAAGAATGTCAGAAAACATTTTTGGCAGAATGAGGAGGATTAAGAATGTCAGATACCTTTTTGAGTAAAATAAATGGATTATTAATGGTATATACCTGCCCTGTAATGAAGGGAGAATCATATTTCCAATGATACATATAAATCCTATATTTGATCTTGTATGTTCCCTGCGAACCCAAAACCTCTGTAAGTTGAACACCTTCTAAGTGGAACGCTTTGTGGCAGAACGGAGAGTGTTCCACTTACACAGGTTCTACTGTATTTACATAATAATGTTATAAAGGAGCATGTGGGTTATCGCAAACAACTTCAGACAATTCTATCTTGAATTATGAATATTTTCTGACCATGAACATGGGTATATCTTTTAGATCTATTCATTATCTTCAAGAAAAGTAAATATAATGATTAATCAGACCTAAGTGATATTAAAGGGAATGGCCCAAACAACATACTTTTTACTAAAAATGTTGACCTAATTTGTACCAAAGATGCAACCTTTAATTATGTTGTTGAATGCGTAATTAGAATATGCTTTGAGACATGTTATATTTCCTAAGTGGAAAAGTAGATTGCTCCAGGGACTTTAAAGACACTGAATTGTTAACATTGTTAAAATGATTGTATTTTTGTTGAAAATGAGGTCAACAACTTTGAAAAAATATATTGATGGGTTGATTGCTAGTGAAATATCTCCGAGTCCGATTGACTTTATTATCCCTGTATACCTGTCTTCATGCTCAGAAAATAGTCATAATCAAAGATATAACTGTCTGAAATTGTTTGTGATAACTTACTTGAACCTTTCCAGGTCAAATCAGGAGTGACAAAATTATTTCCACCAAATTTTTGACATGTCTTCAAATACGATAATATTTTCTTCATAAGATAGAGTGTCACTTGTGAAATTTATTGATTGACCTGAGATCGTACCATATCTTTATGACATAGAAGCGAAATAGTCATATTGAACTTTAATGATGTTTGTTTAATTGTTGTTTGCCACTTTTCGACAATTGTCAAAAGTTGGGGGTTTTGGGGAGGGGTACAATTAGGTTAAAAAATTCACCCGATTCAGACTAAATGAGCACTGATTCACCCGAGAGCACAACTTTTTCAAAACATGTAAGTGTTATTTTTGGACCACTCACATTAATGTTTCGTCTAATTTTCCCTCAGAGTTTCATCATCATTGTCCAAATCTTAGGCCATATTTGTTGAGATATATGAATGTTCATTATTAAAATCTTGCCTTCCTTTGCAGTTGGAAAAGATTCGGTGTAGGTAGGTATAGGTGTTATAAGTCCCAGAGCACGATAAATAAAAGAAATAACAAAATGACATAGAACTGATAGACGTTTTCTCTTGTGCGTGTCAGCCATGGTCTACCAAATTGCTATTCAGTAGGAAGAAACTCATTTTTCAGTTTCCATTTTAATTTCCTGACAAATAGAGTGATCCTCCCAGGATTTTTTCTATGATCTATGTGTCGCCATAGCAACTTCTGATTTAGAGAACAATAGAACAATAGAAAAGATTACTTTACCATAATTTTAATCGTCCCACATTGTAGACATATTTAGAATTAAAAATATGAAGATAATGACAAAACCTCTTAAAACACATTTCTTAGGAAACAAATAGTGTCGTATTCTTGTTACTATGGCAACAGAGTTTTTTCTTTTTGTCATTTTTGTCATACAGATTACCTATCATACTAGGACCAAATCCTGAAAATTTGAATTCAGTATCTTCATTAGTATCTTAGATATATAGGTTTCTTATAGTATCCCCTGCAGATTTTATCGGAATATAAGGAAAATGCTCTGAAAAGGGTTGCCAAAGGATGCCACTTAACAGTTCTGGTATTTTTGAGGTCCCAACCCTCTATTCATGGGAATAGTTAACCATTGTAAAGCTTCTCATGGTTAACTGACAGAATTGATTGTATCTTCAACTAAGAAGACAATAAAATGTTAAAACCAGAAGAAAACCACACCAACTTTCTTCTATTTACCAGGGGTAGGGCACTATAAAGTCATATTAAAATTACAAAATAGTACTTCATCACTATAATAGATGTATTACAATATCAAACATAGCTTGGAAATGTTGTTAGAATACTACTTTGAGCTGTTTAAGTTATCATATTTTGCTTGAAGCTACAAATATAAAATAAGCAAGAAAAAAATGACAAAAATTGCATATTTTTTTCTAATTAATTGTATTTTTCCGAAACCAACAAAGATATCAACCTATAACTTTAGGGTAGTATTCATCTCTGTACTAACAATGTATGCTGTAGAACTCAGAACAATAGTTTATATATCCTTTGAGTTATGAACTAATATTATAGTACCCCCTAAAATAATTTCCTAGGGGGGTAAAAAAGCTAAAATTCAGTGTCGTGACCACCCCATTGAGCTGTCATCTTTTAATATCTTTATCAGCATGAAAAACTGATCCAGAAAGAATAGGTCTGTTGCTTTTTCTAAAAAATGCCTCAAAAACTCTTTCCCTTGAGATATTCTGAAATTGGAACCTGTCTATAAGGAATCCGGAAACTATTTTCAGCCTTTCTATATTCTTATCATCACTTTTCAACACTTTTCATTTGCTTATCTGAGTACATTGTTCCAACACCCCTGATAAGTATTATTGATGAAATTTTATTTGGTTACTGGCCATGATATTTATATCTTGAGCATGTATTCAAAATTCCATATATTGAATTGTCTTAGATTTGTGGTCTTAAAACATGTGTTGAAATTCGAGATTTGATTTACTTATATCTTCAACTTCACAACCTACGAGAGATAATAAAATGCAAAATTTATGATGTAATCATCATAAATTGAAGGGGCAACTAATCCTTAATCATAAATTAAGCATTATGTGATGTACGATTAAGTACCTACAGGTTGGTACAGAAACATGGATGCCATCTCTGCTCCTTTAAAGAAGATATTTTGGCTAAATACAATGGATCCAATGTGCACATAAACTAGATTTTCTTGCTTCCTTATTGATAATTGGCTCAGAAAACTGGACCTTATACGTATATAGTTCCCCATCATGGTTAAAATAAATTCTTTGTACATATTAGGATAAAATTTGGGTGACTATATTTTTTCATTTTTAAGAATAGATCAACCCAATAATTAAATACATTTGTGTATTTTTTGCAAAATTGAGAGATGTAGACCTGGATATTTATTTGAAAAACAAGTGAGAACTGAATCTTGAATAGTGTAATCAGGGCCCATATTTTTGCACCACCCTGTAGGTGCGAAACTATGTGCTGTCCTGAGTGAAATCTGTGTGATAGCCTAGGTGAACATTGACAATAATTTAAAGCATCATATTTTATTATGTATACATTTATTTAGATAAAACACTTCATATTCAATTCAAGATGCTGGCTTTATAGGGCCTAATTCGAAATTCATGACTCACTCAATATAAGATAAAAATAAACAAATTAAATTGTCATAAAATGTTTTTGCTATTCAGTACTTACGCTCATGAATGTGCATGTTTCCTCCTTTTGGTAGTTTCTTGAGGGTAGCAAAGAGTTTTGTTTTGATGATGTGATGGTATGTTTCCTCTATGGGCCTCAATGGGACAAATGTATCTCTTGTATAGTTGTACTCCTGCCATTTTAGGAACTGCATATAGTGGTTCACAATGGTCTCATCCTGAAAATCATACATCAATCAGATCAACATCCCATGTTTCAATATTTAGAGGTTATGTCACTATGACGTGAAATATGCCTGAGTTCTCCCAATATAGGCCAACCTTGGGAGGCTCTATATTTGGGCAAGAACGAAGGCATATTTCACGTCATAGTGACATAACTGATGTATTACATGCCTTTGTTCCCATGGTTACTTTGTATCAATGACGTCACGTCATGATATTATCATGGTTATTAAAGAAATCTAATATCAAAACGAGGTAAGCGGGCTATATGGGGGTAATCGGGCAATATCGGTGGATATAGCTCGCTAACTTTCCCATTGACTTCCATACAAATGCTTCGCTAGGTATGTAATACAGTCAATTATCTCATGTTTCGATTTAGTCATTACCACATAGGTTTTAATCAAATGAATATCACATGTTTCAAACAAGTTAGTATTATACCATGTTTCAATCTTCATCATCATTTGTAGTATACATTTCATTCAAGTTGATATCACATGTTGTAATCTAGTACATGTTTCAATTTAACCATTGTCAGAAGTCACAATCTATTTATTATCACATGTTAAAGTGGAGTCATCTCATTATCAAAGGCTACAGTCCAGTCATTTCAATCTAGTCATTATCAAATGTTACAGTCTAGTCATTACAATCTAGTAATAATTATCACAGGTTAAAATCAAGTCATTATCAAAGTTTACAATCTCGTCATTATAACATGTTTCACTTGAGTCATTATCATAGGTTACAATCTAGTCATTATAACATGTTTCAATTGAGTCATTCTCATAGGTTACAATCTAGTCATTATAACATGTTTCATTTGAGTCGTTATCAATGGTTACAATCTAGTCATTATAAAATGTTTCAATTAAGTCATTATCAATGTTTACAACCTAGTCATTATCACATGTTTCAAACGAGTCATTATCAAAGGTTATAATCTAGTCATTATCACATGTTTCAAATGAGTCATTATCAAAAGTTACAATATAGTCATTATAACATGTTTCATTTGAGTCATTATCAAAGGTTACAATCTAGTCACTATCACATATTACCATATGTTTTAATCTAATCATTGTTATAGGTTTCAGTTCAGGGTTTGAAACTCCCAGCTGCCATACTGCAAATGGCAATCACTCTTGGCAGTTAACTTGAAAATGAGTGTTCTATTGGGCATTGAGCTGATTGCCATGGTGTTAAATTGTGGCACTGATATTTTCAAAATTAGTCATGAACCCTGAACCCAGCCTGATCATTATCGCATCTTTAGATTTAGTAAGTATCTCATATGTTATGATCAAATCAATATCACAAGTTTTAATCAAGTCATTATCCCATGTTTTAAATCAGTCATTATCCCATGTTTTAATCAAGTCATTATCCCATGTTTTAATCCAGTCATTATCACATACCTGAGTCATGTCATTATTACAGTTTTAGCTCATTTATTTGCATATGTTTTAAACAAGTCAATATAAGATGTTCAAATCTAGTTATTATCACATTTTAATTGAGTTGTCGTTATATGTTTGGGTCTTGTCATTATGGCATATTTTCATTATCCTTTGACTATCTACATATACAAGTATAACAGAAAAGACAAGTCATTTTATAATAATTTTATAAACATGATCCCACCTCGTCTTTCAAAATTATAATTTTATATTAACTTAATTAAAAGGATTTGTCTTTTATTCACAAGTATTATATTGATGTTTGTTTTTTATCATTGGGTGTACCATGTATACTTACAACTTCAAAACTAATGTCGTGAGTTAGTGTCAAGAGGTTGGGGTGGTAGGGCACTGCCAAAGTATAACAGTACACAGTGAGATATCTCCAAGTATGATAATCTTGGGCATATTAGATAATTCCATTCAAAGCCCATTTTGACAGTCTGTGAGTGAGTCATTGTTTTTTAAGTGTACAAAATGTATGATTGATTGTACCCTTCATATGAACTAATAACTCATAAAAATATTATGACAGTACATGTATATTACAAATAAACCTTTGAGACTTAATATTTAAACCATAGATTAAAATGAAAATGTACTTTATCTTTCAAAGGCAAACTTGTTGAAATTCTCTTTGAAAAATGCTTTAAAAACATTATCTACCTTGATAACACTATAGTTCTATCACTGTTATTCGGCTAATGATACTCCTTGACCTACAGCCAAGCCTGCATTGTAAGAATGGTACAACATTGTCATGGGAAGTAAACTTTAAATAAAAATAAATAAATAGTACCTCATTCAATGAACTTTCGTATCCAGCATATTTTCTTTCCTCTTGTTTTAATCTGTCTCTTTCTACAGCATAATGGTACTCATTTGCATACATGGCATCTATTGCGATTATACCAAATAAGGCATATATTGCCAGGATGACCATTTTATGAATGCAGTCCATCCTGAAGTATATCAAAGATTAAATTGTAGAAACTAATAAACTGATTACTGATAAATTGCTTAAGGTAAGACAAGTGCAATGAGTAATCTGACTATATTTATTTAGATTTGTGCACAAAGGACTAAAACAGATTCCATAATGCCTACCTTAAATCTGATTAGATGTATGGCACATTTATGATATTTGCACAGATCGCTATTTCCATTTACATTATAATACTATGGTGCCATCGGCTAATCATTTATATACAAAACTGCATGATTAATCAAAATACCAGGAAATTGATGACTTAAAACTGGTTTCAAACTTTTCCTTGCTCTTTTAGATGCCATTAAGTTTATTTGTGAAGCCCCTTACTTGGGTGCTTTATTTCAAGGTTATTCACAAAATTTTCATTAATTTTTGGCTTGCGTCTATATAATTCATGACTTGATTTATTTTGTGATGATTCATTGTTCTTTTGATTTATTTTGATATAATTACAAATTATAAGAGACACATTCTGATTTCTAGTTTTGTATTTTGATTAACACGATAAGAATTCTACTCGCACACTTAAAATAGGCCGTAAGAAGTCGTGAATTGGCATTTTTAGGTCCTTCAGTAAACACATGCATTATAGAAAAATCAGATTGATTGTATTTTCTCAAGACTAAATGGCAGTCCTTTCCATAAATGTTTACATTTCTTGTAAACATCGTCTCTTGTACTTTTTGTTTTGATAAGTGAAAAAAGTTGGTGACTTAGTTGTGTCCTAGTTATGTTTTTAGTTTTGTAGTTGTTCAAATTGAAAAACAGGGGATTGAACTTATACTGTAGTCTCATGGACACTTATATGTAACATGAAATCATAATGTGCCTCTTTAAGTGTATAATTAATAAATCATTTAATCATCTTCTCAGCAATATCATTTAAAACAGTGAAATATTCACTCACCTTATATTCTTAGTGGGCCTTATTTAAATGGCGTATTCTTTGGAATTCACAAGACTTATCTTAGTTTATGCAAGATGATGAATAGTATTGTCTTAAATGTATTAACACCACTCGACAAAGAATACAGTACATCCATTTCTAGAAAGACGCATCTTTTCTCACTATGTTATCGCAGGCACACTGATTGGTTGAACTTTGTTGAAGGTTAAAATAAATAAATGAAAAAATATAAATATTTCATTAGGTTAAGACCTCATTAAGAAATGAGCTGAACAAAATCCCGATTAGAAATCCTATGTCAATGACTGAAAGCAGTTTAACTGATAATGGAGATAGAAGTTTTGTTTATCAGACTTTTATTCCTGTGAAAAAAAACTCAAAGGAATCATAATTCTAACTAGAGATTAGATTTACAAAGAATGGAATAAGAAAGCAATTAGCATGAATTCAATATTCTGCATTCTGTAGAAAAGCGAGGAATTGAAGACTTTCGATACAAGAGAGGTGAATAGATGCAAAATATGTCAAAATTAAGCAAGAAATGAACAATGGGATATACTTAGACAGAGTATAAGTATTAATACCAAAGTTCAAAAATTTTGCCAAGTGTTATCACCTTCATGAATTACCTGTAAAAATAATACATTGAAGTCATTTTTCTATCAGAAAGTGTATTATATTAGTATAGCAATATACTGTAAATATGTAAGTAATTATACATTAAGAGGGTAGGGGTAAGGGGCCACTTTCATTTGATTGGGATAAATCCTTTAAAAATTGATTTATTTAGGTTGGACCAACTCACATTAAGTGTGAGAGATTCACTGATTCATTTATAGCTGGAAACTATGAAGTTATCAACATATCCAGAAAATAACTTATTGAAGAACTTTCCTGATTTTAATTAATGTCTTAGAATTAATCTCATATGATACTCCATATAGATGAAATATACCAAATTCGGATGATCTCATATAATACTCCATATAGATGAAATAAACCAAATTCAGATGGTCTCATATGATGCTCCATATACATGAAATAAACCAAATTCAGATGATCTCATATAATATGAGGTTATATAATGGTTCTTTCTGTATATCGTGTTTATACTCGAGTGAGTATATGATATATTCACAAGTGAGCGTAGCGATCGAGTGAATATATTATATTCTCACGAGAGTATAAAATGCACGATATACAGAATGAACCATTATATAATCTTATTATGCCACTCTAGTATTTTTAAAAGATATGTATTCTTATGTAAACATTCTAGGGTGAAACCAACATTTAGAGGTTTTAAGCTAAATGTATTAACCTACTACAAACTAGACATAAGTGTTGGAAGAGGAGATAAATGGGATCCTCTAAACGATATACTTTCGATGACTGGATTGTCCTTGATAATTTACCATACAATTGACAATACAACCTGTATGCATATATTTCGATATATTTGATTCTGTAAACATGTGACAAATATGTAGCTGTTCTTGACCTAAATAAATATGTATTTAAAAAAACATACTAAAATATCCCATAGCCAACTCAGTAATGCTGATGTTGATCTCGGACCATTTATGACGTGGTTTGATTCTAGCAAATCATGACAATTTTCATGATTAATTATTAGTTCCCAGAATGCACTTCTACAGTGGTATACGCTGGAGTGTATACGGAGGAGTTGTATACGATGACGATATACCACTCTCCACTGTATATCGTTGTTATAGACCCATGTTATACAACTGTAATTGGACTTAGAGTGGTATAATGCTCCATATACACGAAATAAATCAAATTCAGATGATCTCATTTGATGCTCCATATACAAGAAATAAACCAAATTCAGATGATCTCATATGATGCTCTATATACATAAAATAAACCAAATTCGGATGATCTCATATGATACTCCATATACATGAAATAAACCAAATTCGGATGATCTCATATGATACTCCATATACAAGAAATAAACCAAATTTTGATGATCTCATGTGATACTCCATATACATGAAATAAACCAAATTCAGGTGATTAAGACCCAGAAATAAAGTAATTGATGATTTACTATGCAAATCAGTTTATCAACTTTATTTGTACCTTTTGTAAATTGTATCCCCTCTCATGATTTAATCAGCAAATCAGTTTATCAACTTTATTTGTACTTTTTGTAAATTGTATCCCCTCTCGTGATTTAAGGAGGAAGGAGAGACCAAGAAATAAGTAATAACTTAAGTACCTTTATATGATATATGACATACCAGGTATATAAGTGGGCCCAAATTCTGAAAATTTAAGGCTTATTAAGTATAATTAAGCCTAAAATTACAAAAATAATGCCCAGAATGGTGCAGTAATTTTGTTCTAGGCATATCCTGGGGGAGGGGGAGGGCCTGGGCCCCAGATCTGCCAGTGAACAATGTAAGCAAGCAAACTCCCTGCATCTCTCCATCTATTGGTGTTGGTAGATTGGGTGATTTTGATGAGGTCATGTGGTGCCAGTTAAGTAGCCACATCAAAGTTAACCCATTGTCTCCTGAGGGAGAAATCCTATCAGCCAGATAACACTTATGTGTCATTACCCTGATATTTATTGAAAAGAAAGGGTTAAGTACAACATTAGAAGTAACAAACTTTGCACAATACATTTCTACTCAAAAACTCTTAAGTGTTATACTTACAAATGACTCATTTTTAACTTGATTGTGACATCTAAAATGGATATTAACCATGGGCTATCAAAACTTTCATATATTATCATTCATCACAAGATTAAGGAATAGTATGCTTCACATTTTAGAAAGAAATTGTTTTTGCGTTACAGAATGCCAATTTCAATGAGAAGACAGTGCCTCTATATAAATGTATGCAACAAGTAATGAGCATGCAGACAGAAAAATTAAGTACAAATACAATAGAATTCAATAAATATTCAATAGCCCTCTGTCTTTAATAATGACTGTGGGGGTTTCGCAAATATTTGTTTAATGAAATAAATAAAAATATTAACATAATTAAATCTTAGATATTCAAAAGATCACATTTCAATCTACACTATGTAAAAAAATCAAAATTGTTGGTAACATTGATAACGTTGAAATAAGCTAATGGTCATTTGCCAAACCGAGAATGGTCCTTTATTTATTTTACATGTACATTGAACATTTTCCAAATAAAATTGTAAAAAGTGAAGTCAATGAAAATATTTTTCCTGAATCTTTGGTTATGAGGAAAACCATTGTAACATTATAATAACATTTTTCTAACTATTATATCTATCCATTGTCAATCACAATATTTGGGGTTTGTAGAAAAAACCGGGTACCGGGTACCGGGTACCGGGTACTAAATTCTCCATACTGGGTTCCAACTTGGTACCCGGTACCCGGTCGAGAAAACCGGGTACCCAGAAAAACAAAAAATACGAAAATTTAACATATTAATAACATAATAACATATTAAGTTAAATATCATTAGAAAGCTTTTTATATTTGAAAAACATGGCAAATCAATGAATACTGTATGTGATTTAAATCTGTAAATAGCTATCGTTACAGTAGAGAGGTGACGTGTGTTATTTTACATGATGCAACGTGTAAGGTTTTGATTGCATAATCTAAGTTATCCCAATTTTCGACGAAGCGTCCACTGAAAGTGTAAATTGTTACGTCTTACAATGTCATAGGCGTAGCCAGGAGGTGGTGCCATGGTGCGATCGCACCCTCCCCCATAACCATTGAAAATATGACCATGATGATGATAGAGGAAGAGAACAGCCTTAAAATGTTTTTTTTATTTGAAGCGTCTAGCTCAATTTTGAATGAAGTTAAATACATTTTTGTAAATTCAAAACAAATCTTAGTCGTTGCTTATGCCACGATCACACAAATGAAATATCCCCAATATTAGTTTCTGAGACATTTCCGTTGATGTTAACTGTAAAACTAATTTGATATAAACTTGTAAATGAAGTAATCTCAACCGTTTTAATTTATCCCGATATATTTTTAGAAATCCGAATTTTTTAGAATTGTTGATTCAGTTTTGTAACCGTGATTTTTCTCCAATTACTTTTTAGCTGAATCCCGAAGACGAAAAACAGATTTTCACCCCGAAATTTCTTCAAAAATACAGATTTTCAGATTATAAATATAATCCTGTTTTTTAACTAGACATGTATGATGTACTGTCTTCCGTTTCTCTTTGAAACTGTCTTGGTTTCTTCATCTACGTACGCGAATGACTGGTCGGTAACTATCCAAACAATATCACTGCATGCATGTCTTAAATGTGTAATCATATTTAGAAACTGGAATGTACGCCCTACAAACATGGTATTAATTGTATTGTGTTGTATTGTATTGTATTGTATTATATTGTATTCTATTGTATTGTATATCACATTATTTCCATGTGAATACATTACAATTTCATCTTCGTTCACTCGGCATATTAATTATTAATATTAATTTTCTGCCAAGAGTATCAGACGAATCAAATCATGATTTAATTTCACTTAATCACGCGGTACTAACTCACCGGGGCGTATCGGAACTTCTCACATCTGGGGACCAAAACGCCGCTAAAACGAGGGACTTTGTAAACAAAAGCAATGTCTCGACTGAAAGATATTTCTGTGAAGGAAATTTCATGGAACAAGTTTGAAGAAAAACGGTGTTGTTTGAGACCCACAATCATTGATTTTCCAAAGACAGGGTAGATTTGAAATTCAAATTAACGGGTTTGGGGGGCGTTTTAGTTTCGATACGCCCTGGTGAGTTAGTACCACGTGATTAAGTGATATTAAATCATGATTTGATTCGTCTGATACTCTTGGCAGAAAATTAATATTACAACCCTGTTAAATCAGGTAAATTGAGCTTTGTAGTTATAATATTGTAATTGTAATGCTGCTTAACCTGAAATAAAAATATCTACGTTAGATTTATGCCAAAATAAAATTGATGTACTTGAACTCTGTTTTTTGTACAAGAGATTTCCCCGGTTTTGAAGGGTGACACAGAACAATAACCCTAACTTAATAATACGAATTGTACAGTGCAACATGGAAAACAAATTAATCTTTCTGGCAATTAAGTAAGTTTTTGGAAGTGTCCGCATTTTCATCATCACCGCCAACAGATATACCATGGGCTTTTAAGAGACCCATGGATATACTAATACTAGAATACTAATAAAAAAACGTGTAATTAATTATTTTCTGTACAGCATCATATGCATTCAACTAGAGTTACTGTAGCTACATGCACGCACAGGCGTACTCGCAAAATCATTTACAATAAAAGAATAAATATTTCACAAACCAGTTAGCCTATAATACAGAAATCCTTAAATTCATTGAGTTCACATTCATTTTTAAGATATCCATAGTAGTAAGAACATTCTTTTTTGAACAAACTTTTGATTGGGAAAACCGATGCCTGAAGTAGTCAAATTGAAAATGAGGAGCTTCATTTGTTCACAATGATTTTAATCGTCCAAAAAGAAGACGCTCAGTTCATTAACAGCATTTCGTTCAGTGTGATTCGGTCATAGTCATTAGCCCCGGGAAAGGTAATCGTTCATACATTAATTAGTTTCCTTTTAATATTTTAAATACGTTTGACAATGCTAAAAGCAGAAAGAAGCAGAATTTATTCTATAGTTCCACAGATCGTCAAATCCAAAAGTAGATAGTAACTGTTGTTTTATTTTTGAAAAAAATTGTGTACAAAATAAGGCCAATGGTAAATTCTTCATCTCCCGTCAGGTAATAATTCAAACTCATCTTGCAAGCTAGGGTAAAAACAAACACAGAAGAAACAATCTCCACGTAATTTTGCAAATTGTCTCTGTAAATTGAATAAAAATAGTAATGGAAATAATTTGATTTAAATGTGGCCTCTTCAAATACGAACGTGAGAGATCTCATACAATGGAAGGCCCACGCCAATAAATGAATTTAATATTAATAGTTCTTGAAACCAAACTTCAAAAACGTGCCGCAGAAAAGAACGGGGGTCAAGACGCTTTTACAGATTTAAATCAATTATTAACAGTAACTGTCAGACTGTCAGTCGAATGTAAAGGTTCACTTATGTTTGCAAGCAACGCATTTGTGTAATGCAATGATACATTTCGATATTCTTTTCAGTTAAACAGAACTATACGAAAATAAGAATTCTTTTACTACAAACATTATGTTTAAGTCCACATGATAATGAAATAGCCTACATTCCCTTCTTGTTCAACGGGACTTTGATTTCAACCCCGGGTTTCAGCCCTGAATAAACCAAAGTACCTGTGTCATACTACAAGTAGCATTAGACGTTTATACAATGTACAGTATTTAAAACAAGGCCTCTGGTTTTCATGATATTTTCATTTTAGACAACGTGTGAATGGCAGATAGCGGGACACGGCATGTATACACGATGGGCAAAACAAATATCTAGGATATATCCAGTAACACCAAATTAAAAATAATTAATTAAAAAATGTATGCCCCAAATAACCACTCAGTGGCAAAGAGTGAGAACATATAGCGAATGTGACACTGTGACCGCTACTTTTTGTTATTGATTTTAAAATACCCGTCCCACATTAATTGAGCTTGCATGCCCCATCTTATATAATTTAAGCAAGTTCAATATTTAACCCAGACCCGTGGTTCAAACATTTGTTGTCTCAGTCACCATTTGATATCTCATCTGCTAAATATTATATTCTTTTTTACAGGTTCTTTCAATGAATGGAATGCTGCAGACATGACGGACATGTGAAGTTTGGGGTTATGCATGGACACATGCGAGGAGGACACAACGTAGAGAAAAGCGGGGGGTCTTCACTCGGGAAAGGTGTAAAACGCATCCTGGGATTCAGCAGAAACAGCTCCGAAATAATTCAGAACTAAGGTTGCATTCATGAATTCAGCTGCCGGCTGGTGGTTTAACCTACTTTTTATCAGTGGTAAACTCAATTACTTATAGTGGCAGGTACTACTCATGAGTTAAATGAGTTGAATTCACCTGCCAGATGACGGCTGGTGGTTTAACCTAGTTTTTAACGTGACAGTCACTATTCATATTTAAATGACTTGGACATGAATTAGCCTAGTTGGTAATCTGTCAGCCGTCAGTTGAATATGGCGAATGCTACCTCGGAGCCCAACAATGCGTTTATACCCGGGTGTTTATACTTCATGTTATGCATGTAGTTTCCTGTTTTATTGTTAACACTTAAAAGTTAATAATTAAGGGTTATTTATCTTCCAGGTATTCATAAATAGTTGGCCTAGGTCTGTTGACAGTGACGATGACAATTTTGATGGCGAGCTCTACATTCATTTCGAATAATTAATCTTTAGGCATTTTGCGTACTATGTTTAAGTTTATACATTTTTATTTATTAGAGTTAGCATTCTGATTTTTTATCAGAGCCAGGCACTAGAATGCTTGAAAGAGAGAGTCTTCATATTCAAAAAGTAATAAAGGCTGTTAATTCCATGATTTAACGCTAGCTTTACAGGGGCGGATCTGGGAACCAACAAGGGGGGGGGCCCAAATCTTAGGTCAGAGAAAAAAATGTCCGCGCTTGCGCGGAAAAAAAATTTGGGCCCCTAAAAGGCAAAAGTGGGCCCAAATTTTGAAATTTTGAGGCCCATTTTCTTCAAAATTTGGCCTGAATTTAAATAATTAAGGCCTTAAAAGGCCCATTAATGACCAAAAAGG